CCTCCACCACCTTCACGCCACCACAGACGCTGATCCTGCGTGACTGGTGGCTGTGCACAGTGCTGTCCATCATGTTTGAGCTGTTGGAGTACACTCTGGAGCACCAGCTGCCAAACTTTAGCGAGTGCTGGTGGGACCACGTGAGTACTGCAGCACCCCTCTCTGTTTGTCTATCTCTGTCTTTCTATCTCAGTCTGTCTGTCTTTCTGTCGGTCGGTCGGTCGGTCGGTCGGTTGGTTGGTCGGTCTGTCTGTCTCTGTCTATCTATCTGTCTGTCTGTGTGTCTGTTGGTCGATCGGTCTGTCTGTCTGTTTGTCTGTCTGTCTGTTTGTCTGTCTGTCTGTCTGTCTGTCTGTCTGTCTGTCTGTCTGTCTGTCTGTCTCTTTCTCTCTCTCATTCCCATCTTTTCTCCCTCCCCTCTCTTTCTCCTATACTTCTGTCTGTCCCACTTAATTACGTACAAATTTCTCCTCTTCTTAGTGTCCCTCCTCATAGTTATTTTGACAGACTCTAGATCATATATTCACTGTGGTTTACTCCTTCTTTCCTATCAAACATCTATCGTCCTTATCTCCCCTCCTTCTTTTTTGTGTTTGTTACTCTCTTGTAACACCTCTAATCTGGCGCTCATATGACCTTATTGTGTTGCAAGTGCCGTAAAACTCTTACTAAAACTAAACTAAACTAAACTCTCTTGTGACACCTCTGATCTTCGGCATTTATATGACCTTATGCAGTTGCAAGAGCCGTAAAACTCTTACGAAAACTAAAACTAAACTCTCTTGTGACACTTCTAATATTCTGGGGCTCATATGACCTTATTGTGTTGCAAGTGCCGTAAAACACTTACTACAACTAATATATTCACCGTATCGTTTGACTTTGTGTGCTCGTCAGTGGATCATGGACGCCGTGGTCTGTAACGGTCTGGGTATCTACCTGGGAATGAAGACCCTCAACTACCTGTCCATGAAGCCTTACCACTGGAGAGGAATGTGGAACATCCCAACATACGGGTGAGTTTGCTGTTAAAAACAAGAGCCACTTAGTCGCTACCAAACAGAAATTCAAGTAACAATAATTATTTTTTATTTTTCATTTGAAAAAGAGAAAGAAGAAAAAAGGAAAAAAAAAGGAGTAAAATCATCATCATCCAGTGCCAGATCTGCGACAGACGTCAGCGATCATGGTTCTCCATTCATTCCTTTGCTGGGATGCTCTTAAAAAAAAGCTACGTTTCCCTGATCTTTCCCTGTCACCCACTTGTTCAGGTTCCCCAAGTAGGTTGCTCTAGGCCTACACCTGCCTCGCTTGCCTTCAATTTTGCCAGTGAGAGCTAGATGTTCAGGACCCTTCTGTCTATTCAGGTGTCCCAAAAACTGCCTTTGAAGAAGAATAAAATTTGATGAACTAACCCCCCCCCCCCCCAACAATTATTAACTCCTTATCTCTGGCAAGCTGCTACTAGCGCCTCACAGTTGGAACCGCTGTCCCATGGCTCAGCCACGTTCCTTTAGATTAACTTCGATGTTAATTTACTTTTCGGCAATGGCCGAGAACAGGACTCTTTTACTGGGAGTTCATTCATTAAATGAAGAACAATCAAAATAGATTCACTTGTTTGGATTTGATGAGCAATTTAACAACGTATATGTCAATTTTAGATTTCGTACCATAAAAGGGACCCGCATAGTGGGTTTACCTCCCTCGTTGTGGTTGGCGGGTGCTCTGGTGTGGTATGCTTCTTCTTTCCTATATAACATCTATCGTCTTTATCTCCGCTCCTTCTTCTTTGTGTTTGTTACTCTCTTGTAACACCTCTAATCTTCGGCACTTATATGACCTTCTTGTGTTGCAAGTGACGTAAAACTCTTACTAAAACAAAACAAATAAAACAGGAGATGTTGAAAGGTTAGCTCTGCTCATGTCGTGCTGAAGGTAGCTTGAAACGATACATTTTTTAAAGATTTGTTTTTTGCAAATGTGTCTCCACACGGTGGAATCAGGCGCTGGTCTATTGTGGGGCTTGTAGAGTTATTGGTGTCATCTTAAAGCTTGTTCATTTGTTGTCTTGCTTTGGGTGAAAATATTCATTTATTTTGAATAGAAGTGGAGATATTTGCGAATGAATGAGGTGGAGGTTACCTGGATTCTGAGGTAAAAGTAGTGAGAAAATGGCCTCCAAAGATTAGTTATTTCCTTAGATTGAGAGTCTGTGGAAACTGAAAATTAAAATTTTTGTGCCCTAAATCAACGTTTTTCCGTAAAATCCTCTCAGAAAGGCGTTCTTTAGTGGGCATGAATGGTGTGGAGTCAAAAAACGAAAATTCGATAAAAATTCACAAACCTGCGGGAAAAAAATGCCAGTTTCTTCACTTTGATTATTTTGAGGAGCGCCTGATTTTACCACCTTGCCTCACAAATATGTAAGGCAGCGTGGTGGAATCAGGGTCTCGTCAAAATAATGAAATAGAAGAAAACAGCAGTTTTCTCCCTGCTTAGCAATTTTTGTCAAATTTTTGATTTTTGGCTCAACACCTTTTATGTCAATTTACAAATACATTCCTTTAAGGATTTCACCAAAAACATTGATTAAAGGCACAAAAATGTAAATTTACAGTTTCCATGGACTCTCCAGCTTTGAAATTTACCAACTTTTGGCGGCCATTTTCTCGCTAATTTTATCTCTTAAATCAGGTGACCCCCACCACCTTCAATCCAAAATATCTCCACTTCTATTGAAGATACATTTGTCAATTTTTCATTGAAAGCAAGACAAATGAACAAGCTTTAAGATGATACCAATAACTCAATATGCCAAAAAATTGACGAGAGCCTGATTCCACCACGCTGCCTCACATATGCTTTTGATGATGATGATTCTGACGCCGTGCGCTGTTTTTTTTTTTTTTTCTTCTTCTTTTGCTCAGTGGAATGTTGAAGAGAGTGGCTCAGCAGTTCACGCCGTACAGCTGGACGGATTACGACTGGAAGCCCACCTCCAGTCTCAAGAGATGGCTGTCTATGCTGGCCGTGATTAGTATAGTAAGTCTCTCTCTCTTGCCCTTTTTAAACCCCCAGTGGAGCTCAGGCCATCAACAACATTACTCCAGCGAAGCCTGTCCTGAGCATCCTTTTCTATCTGTTTCCATGATGTCCCCGCTTTTTCAATTTCCGCTTGTACCGCTCGTCTCCATGTCATCTTTGGTCTTCCCTTCTTTCGTTTTCCTTGTGAGTATAGTAAGTGATCAGCAATAATTGTGGTCGCTTTTAAGGACAAGCTCCTTCTTTCCTATGAAACATCCTTATCTCTCCTTCTTCTTTTTTGTGTTTGTCACTCTCTTGTAACACCTCTAATCTTCTGAGGCTCATATGACCTTATGCAGTTGCGAGCGCCGTAAAACCTCTACTAAACTAACTAAACTATGCAATTCCTGCTTCAAACTTGTTTGAGTTTAACACCTCTTTCAATGCTGTAAGGTTCTTAAAGAGGCGGGGCTTGACTGTCAATGGAGAGCGGGTGGTTGGAGGGTGCCTGTGAAAAGGTTCTGCTTCTCTACTCTTCTTGGTTGTTTTTGTTGGTGCACATATTTGTCTTGTTCTTTCCTGTCGCTAAGTGGGGGGGTTGGCGGGTACTCTGGTTTGGTTTGCTCCTTCTTTCCTGTCAAACATCTCCCCTCCTTCTATTTTGTGTTTGTTACTCTCTTGTAATGCCTCTAATATTGGACACTTATATGGCCTTCTTCTTCTTCTTCTTCTTCTTCTTCTTCTTCTTCTTCTTCTTCTTCTTCT